AGGCCATGATAATGTAGTAGAAAGAATAGTAGAAAAAGAATTAGGAGGCCTGTGTCTAGTTCTGGCTATGACCCTTAAATGTCTGAGCTTGGGTAAATCTTTTCCTTTTGGACCTCAGTTTCCTTATCTGTAAAATGGGAAGCTGAATTATGAACTGTTCCTTCAAGCTGGACTGTCTACAATGTCATCACAGTTGTTTTCTTCTCTTTCTTTTCCTTATAATGCTTTATCCCAGCCTTGTTAGCACCCCACCTCACTACTTAGCCTCAGACCTTTAATTGGCATCAAAATGTTTTCTAGGTCCTTTAATTCATACTTGTATGTGTAAATCTATATAGAAATAAAAACCAAATGTTTCTTTAATGAGACTATAACATCCCAACTTCTAACATTTCCCTCAATTATACTGGACTGCTTAGATTTTTCTTTTTCTCTCTCCAGCCTTTACCCAGGAGTTTTACAATATGAACATGTCAAGTTTTCAGGGTTGAGGAACCAACAACCCTCTTAGTCCCCCTCTCTCCCTTTCCGGCTTCTTCTCCTCTGGCTTCTCCTCCTCCCCAGGCTCTACCCAGCCCCAGTTCCTCCCCTTCTTTATCTCCTCTTTCTTCCTTGCTTTGTAATTATTTCAATGCTTTTGGAAAGGGCAGCCTTTCACTTCCAGAGTTCCTTAAATCCTGTCTGCAAATCAGAAGGTTCCTGCCTTTACTCTAAAAAGTGGAGCCAAGTGCAACAGCTTCATTTGCTTTCTCAGAATAGATTTATCACATGTTGCACCTATTAAGTGACAACCTTTCTGTCAGGTTGTTTTGGGAATCTTGGAAGTTGCCCCCTTTAAAAACCATTTATTAACTTCCAGCGTTTAAAGTGACCTTTCCTTCCCTTATCAAACTGAGCAAGATTTTTTATTAATACTTAACTGATATTCTTCAGATCTACCCTGTAAGCTACTGATTAATCTAGAAGATTCACTAAAAAGTTTGAGTTTTAAAGGTTATGAAACTTACAGTACAATAGAGAACTAGTGTTCATAAACTAGACTTGGGCAATAAGCTACGGATGAAACAGGTTTGACAGATTGTTGGTATACCTCTGGACCGCCAGTCATAGAACTCTGCACAACAGGGTAGTGCACTTGATTCGGATGGGCTTAGGAAAGCAGGCACACACTGAAATGGCTTGTCTGGAATAAGGACATGACTTGAGTTAACAGAAGGCTAAACACCACTGGAAGGCAGCCAGAAGCCAGAAATCTCAGCCAAAGCAAAGGTTAAGGCAAAGGTTAAGCCAGGAGTGAGACCTGCAAAGCCAAAGTCAGAGCACTGATGGGTGCATCTATTGTTGGGGTCAGGCCATGGGATAAGTACAGGTAGACACACAGAATTCCAGGGAGGCCAGATACAGAGGGTATGAAAGCAAGGGTAATCAAAATCACAGGGATAGCTAAGAACTATAGCAGAAGCCAGAGCAGGTAGGGTGGGAAGAACAACAAATATAATATCCCTTTCCTTAGGAGATCCTGACCCTGAAGCAAGTTGTCCCAGCCAGAGGTTCTCACACTATAAGGTGGAGATCCATCACAGAACTGGCCCAGGGCAGCTGGGAGACTCAGGGAAGATGATCTCCATCTGCACAGGGGGATATAATTTCACTGGAACAAATGCCTGTTCTTCTGTTACCTTTTGGTAGTTTACTGAGGGTGACCTCACAAAACAA